TGCCAGGAATCTGCGAAGAAAACAAGTGAAGCAAATGTTATGATCTTACTCGATGCTTTTGCAAGTACAGAAATATTGAGGCAATGAGTTGAGCCAACTTTTACATCTATATCTCCATCATTAGTTTGCACGGACTTCACAGTAACACATGTCGAGCAGTCCCGCATATTCTGTAGCTAAAGTTAGATTGATTAGACAGAAAGAACTTTTTGAACTGCTGAAATATAAGTGTGGCTGATTTATTTCCAGGCCACAAAAGCATTATTTTTTAGACTTTGTACGGAAAATTCGTTAAGTACTTGCTCGTTAAATGAGTACAAAAATTTTTTAGTACCTAAAAGTGACATTACAATATAGTGTACTGTGATATGAGGTTTGTATATAACAAATTACTCTTTGTCAAATCAAATTATGATTTTTATTATTAAAAACAGATCTTAATGAAATATACTGACTTCAAACTCTGAAAGAAATACGATAGTTATGCCTCACTATGCTAATCTAATTGTAAACAATGTTTCAAATCATTTTCATAAGATGAAGTCCATCATTATAATAAATCGCAAATTTTTTGTATCTCATAAATTCTCGAAATATTTTAATCTACACTAAACTCGAATACATGAGCACTGTCTCATACTTTCTAAACTTACCGGTTTCTTCTTTTTCGCTGAACTAACACTTGCAGAAGTTATGCCTAATTGTGAAGCTGTCATATTAAAGGAAGGCGCAGCGTTACTGGGAGAAGCCTGGCAAGTTCCATGGTCATCTTGCTCACTGACACGTCGTTTCTTTTTTCGTATTTTGTTGCATGGTAAATTGTGTGTTCTACAACACATCAAGCTATCACATCAAATATAATAACACATCAGTTTTGATTATTGCAGTCTACAATGAAATTATTAGACTTATTGTATGATTATTAGGATGAAAAATTCGTAAATGTTTTAGAAAAATTTACCTTCTTCAATTATTCGTTTTAACATAAAAGTTTGTGACTATCTTTTTGATAGAAGAAATGCAAACAAGCAACCAAATATTAAGTTAGGAAATAAAAACTTAGCGAATACAAAAAAAAAAAAAAAAAAAGAGAAAAGATAATCACCACATAAAAGAACGAAAAATGATGCAAGAGAAAGTTGAAACGATACTTTTCATTCGCCTTTTTATTACTTAATATTTTAATAAAGCCCACCTATTGTTATAAATTTCCGGTGTATGGATATAAGAGAAATGATTTTATTTTATTTACTATATTTTACAGCACTGTTCTCTGCGTGACACCAAACGGAACACTTTAAGTACAACGAAAGAAATGTAATCTCGGTGACGAAAGTTATATAAATTAAATTGTTTGCGAAATGGATTTACATCATTGCAGATTATATCATCGCCCATCAGGACGATCACGATTTGAAATCACACCATCTTTAATCAGACTAATAACATCACTGACAATCATAGCATGACATAAACCATAAAATTTTAAAAAATTTGTAAGAAATTTTTGCAAAAAAAATTTGTAAAAATATAAAGATTATGAAACACTAACCCTGTATTTTTTAAGCTAACACCAACTACAGCAGTATTCTGTCGATCCAAATCTGCAGAATCTTCACCAAATTGTCCCTCCTTTAATTAGATTTATCACTATTTTATCATTAAGTAATTGTAAAATTATGGTAATAACGCAATAAAAACTTTGCATAAATAATGAGCATGGAAATAAAACCACGAGAAAAATAAAATGCAGTTTGAAACGACATTTCGGAACTTTTTGAAACATAAAAAGTCCAGTAGCTAAAAACTCTGATATTTTTTATTAAATGATTACTAACACAATGTACCACATGAATCTTCGTAATTTCTCAAATCTGATAATGTGTAACGTTAGTTACAAACTGCACCGCAACTTCTCTTCGATACATAAAACTCACTTTTTTTTTCGTTTGAATTCTGCCGTCATATAAAATCGGAACTATCGTATCTAATATATATGAAAAGTATTCTAATTAAAAAAATTAAAACATGAAACTGCTTAAGGTTGATTTCCAGACATACACTGGTAGAAGTTTGCGTTTGCGGCACGTAAGATGAAGAGAGAATACGAGAATGGTGTTCTTCAACCATTACTGAACTTGTCACATTTGTAGGCCCTAGAAAAACTTTCCTATAGAATGCAAGTAATACAGTTTTGTATGGAAATTGTACTGAACAACGGTTTCAGAGCAATGTTCCTAATATATTTATAATTAATTATCTGACATAATCCTAACATTATTTAATAATCAGATAAATCTAGCACCAAATAGTGAAAAAACAAATGAACTAAAAAACCAAAAAATATCAATAAATTAATTACCAGAAGAAGTTACATTTGAAGATACAGAAATATTGACTGCTAGCTGACGAGTGCTAGAATGTGGTGTGCTGTACAGGGCATGATGCTCAAACTGTTGTTGCCCACTATGGCGAAATTTGCTCGTGCCAGATCCAGCTTCAAAACCACTGCTCTGGTATCCAGACCTAAAATCATTATATATCAATGAACAGTAAAGGGTCAAATTTTCTTATTAAATTAATAAATTTAACAATCAAACAAACCAGTGATTTCAAAAATCCTCTTTTGCGAGAAAAAGAGTTGTTACTGAGGTACATGAATAACTCTTAAAATTTTAAATTTACAGTTCTAGCAAACTACAGTACCTGCCTACAAAGCAAAGTTTTTCTTAATAAGTATAGAAACTTAATAAAAACCCTTATTCCTTGAACTGACCTTTTTCCGGATAATTTATTGAAATTTCGAAAATAGTCTTCAAATGTGTTACTTCTCGCACCAATTCTACTAATGGAAGAAGATCGTAAGTCCATAACAAATATTCGTAGAATGAATGAAATTCATAAATTCCTCGCAAAAAAAAATAACGCACCAGTTAGCTGGCTGGTGAACAGTGGTTGACTGAGTATGTAAACTGTTGCCCGTTTCTTCCTCATCATCGATTTCTCCCTCCTCCTTAGATATGTCTTCAGTTCGTGCTGCTCCTACAGGAGTTTCAGCAGTTTACAGCAGTTAAAAAATGGCAAAAAAAAAAAGCACTAATATGCTGAAAATATAAAAATATACATCTTCTACAATTCATAATAATCCATCTGAAATTCATTGATGCACCTAGCTCGAATTCGGTGGTATATAAAATATGTACTTCCAATATAGATGGTTCGAGAAACAAAGCTAATACCTTATGCAGATGGATAAGTATGCAAATGTTCGCAAAATTATAAGCAATGAAGATTTAAAAAAAAAACCTACCGTCACTACGTTTTTCTCCAGAATACGAAAACTGTCCACCACCGCTGACTGGGCTCTGTGTCCGTTTGATTGTCATTTTCAATCGATCATCTCGATGAACGCCTTGCACTGCTTTTGGAGCTCCACTTTCACAATAAAAATTCGGCTTCGGTTCTGGATCAACCGGATGACTTTCCATGCCTAAACAGTTAATCCAACTACTAGGAATATTACAAAGAAAAAAAAAAAAAAACATTATTTCTGATACAATTTACCATCTTCGGAACTTGATGTTAATTCAATCGTTTTTTCATAAGTTGTCGTTTTGGTCGATGTTTCCGCGCAACCTGCTTGGGATGAATGAGTATTATCCAGAATAGCATCATCTATCATCAAACGACCCTCATCTTCGTCGTACGAATCACCCATCTTCTTTTCATTCAGTGATAATTAAACCCCATTTTATACTATTCATTTAAATGTATGTTCTAATATATGGATCACTAAAACTAAAAAAACTGAAGTCGAAAATTGCTGAAACATATATATATGCTGACGACGCACAATCTATAAAAACACAAAAATGAAGACTGAAGAACTGTTGCCCACACCTGCTATGACTGCAATGAACAAACATGCATATTGATGTGATGATTGAAAAATCCGACTCCGAAATTTAACTAACAATGTCGTGAATTGTTTTTGCATGATAAACTTTTTATGCGGATTAAAAGAGTTGAAACAATCACTGTTATTATTTGAAAGTAGGAAGACCGGGTCTATCGATCTAATTACTTCACGTTTTAATTACCGCGACAATTTATAAACATATTCCAAATATTCCATCTCAATCGAATTATCACCAAAGTAACTACCCATTCCTATACTTCTAATAAAACAGACAACATTTCAAAAATGTTGACATCGTTTGCTCAACAATGATATTCCAGGATTTAAAAGTGAACCATCCTTCTTCTCTCCATTTGTCTTGCCATCCTCCATACAACATCATCACTTTTTTGGAGATGGTTAAGATAATCAAATGAAAGTATCCCTGTTTCCAAATATTTTGGATTAAAACAAAACTTCCCCAAATTCCTTTGAAATGGTTGACAAAAAATGACTGATCACTGCTCACACTTGCCTTACACATGCAAAAAAAAATATCAGGAAAACATCAGATGGAAAAGCAATGAAGGATGTCAAACATCAAAAGTATGTTCTAAACAGACGCCTCGAGATTTTAACAAAAAATCGAACCATACGAACACCCATAACTCAACTGGTTGATTTTTCCCATTGCAGTTTTTATGCCAATAATAACAACACTCAAATGTTCAGTTGACATGTATGAGCAAAGCTAATCAAAATTATTTTTTATGGCTCTTCTCCACTTCAGTACTCATCCTAATTGTTTGATCCCGAAAGATAGTAATCAGAACGTCTAATTGTTAATTAATCACATAACAAATAAAAGGTCAATGTTATAATTAACTGAGTTCGAAACTCCCATAAGAACCACAGATGCAAATGTACTCATCCGCTGTTAGCCTTATCTTACGCGTTCATTGGAGGTATCGACTTCCGGAATTGTCTCTCTTATTTTACATTGAATCTACGTATGCTCTGTGCACTTTCCCCCGTAGCAGTAAGATTATCGTAGGAACGGTAATAGCATGAAGATTCCCAAGAAATGACCAACAGAAATTGTATGAGTGCAAGCCGCGATGCGCACTCCAAAATGAGCCCCTACTTCTCCCATGCTCACGTCATCGCTGTCATGCTGCTATATGTGTATCGCGAGCGCCTATTGCAGCTTGATACACAGAGATTAGGTCGTAGTGCGCGATGTGAGTCCGAATGCACCTCAGGGTTTATGCCTTTAGATTTATGTGGTCCCACTAAGTGTGCCAAGAATCTCAAGGTGTATTTCAGTGAATTATGTAGATTTGGACTGGCCCAAGTGAAATATAAGTGAAGTGTACAAACAGATACATTGAAATGATGAGTGCAGTTCTCTTCAGCTAACTTATAATACTAGCACAAAACATAGCATCAGATGATAGAGTCATCAATACAGTGCTACCTCTAATTCCATCTTTCTCCAGTTCGCTAGCATATTATCTAATTTGTAAAACACTTCTCTCCATACTCCCACCTACTTTTTTTTAATTTTCTGACTAGAATGGCAGTTCCACAATCATTAGAGTAATTTCAGGATTCGACATACTAAATCGTAGGGATCATCTGGACTTTCTTCTTTGCACATTTACGTTTATACGTCTATTTTGCCATGCTGAATGGGAATGCCGGCGTTTGCATGGCTGACTATTTTCACACGCCAGCCAAAATCGTTGCAAACGTCTTATAACACGGTGCTGAAATCATAGAATAGGAAAAGGAAGAAATATGTTGCGGTAATTATAGCTTGATGAAGCAAATTCAAGAACTACGCTGCAATATGGTATTTCAGTAACTTTTTACAAGTGGTAAGAAAAGAAAATCAACATATATTGTATCTCGATTTGCGTGGTTGAACAGTAAGTACGCAATTCCCGACAAAGTCTAATTTAGCTTTTTGGTTTAGTTTGAAGGCTGTATGCAGCCTTCGAATAAAAGACACTTATTGTTTAGCATATTTTAATGGCAAAGCAGCATATCCATCTAACCTCTGATCATTGTAATGTTTCGAAAAAAGATCTAACCGTTATTTGTGCTTCAAGGGGAAAAGACTGAGTATAGAATCTTCCTATTTGCTTTTCCAGAACTTCAATCGGATGGGGGATAGCGATCTCACGGAGTATTTCTGTTTCTCCGCATTGATTACGTTTGGATATAAATAACTTTGCAACGGCTTTCCCTTCTCCCTTTTGATGTGAAAATAAACTGATCATTCTCTCTAATTCAAGCTTGTCGTCAATTACGTCTCGTTTTCCACATCCACATTCACACTCCATCTCGATGATTTTTTTGCATCTTTTTTCAATGACTTCTGCATTTTCTGCCTTGTTTGTGGCATGACTCACCGGCACCTAAAAAAAAATGGTCTGAAGAGCTTAACCAGTCTTGCAATTTTTTTTAACTACCTGATACAGTATTCTATTCCAGAACCAGATCACACGCATTAAATAGCCACGAAAGGTAAATCTGTCAGAAGTCGATTCTGATCAATCACCCAATGTGAGTGATTGCAAATATTCTGATATCTTTCTATTAAGTAATGAAATTCTGAATCATGATTTCAAGTCAGACTTTTGCAAGATGGTTCCAAGGATCTCAACTTTTAGCGACAGTTTACTCCGTCATTTAATATTATACTTGTATTATGCGCATCTCGTTAGAAGTTACTTTCTGTTTCTGAAAACACTATACCTGCAATGGAAGTGCTTGTGTTTCTGGTGATGGAGCCTGAAAGAACATGTTTGCAACTACTGGGGATAATGCGGTAGGAAGTTGTTTTTTCTTCATAAAGATAAAGTTAATGGGTCGCCTAATCTCTTTTTTATTTTCAATTTTAGACGACAAAATCCTTAGTCTCTGTTGTTCTGGTATATTGGCTTCTATAGAAATATTCTGGAAACTCGGAGAATTGATATTAATTTCCAGCAATGACACTTCTGTGTCAGACACGAATATTCTTGATTTTTTCCTGAATTTAGGCGAGGTATTTGACGGTCCTTGCTCCTCTGACACATCTCCAATACTCTCCGACATTTCATTGATGAATCCTGATGTTTTGAGAGTTTCATGATCAGGCTTGCATTTTGGATATGATTTTGGAGTTGGAAATCTTATTTTAGTTTTTAACATTTTTGGTTGTACATTTTCAACGTTTTGTATCGATTCCGGGACGCTGGGTTCCTCATCTCGATTTTCCACCACTTCAATTTCTTCGTCTTCATCTGATTCTTCCAAATCATGTAGTGGGTCATCATTCTGAACAGCAGCTAAATTGATGCCTTCCTTGTGGACATATTCCATATAGATTCGTCGATATGAATTTACGAAGTCTAGAGCAGGTCGTAGATCTTTCATTTCGAGGCCTGAAATTATTGGTTTCCAGAAAATTTACCAAAAATGCCATAATATTTATTAAACATAATACTCTAATTCAGAGGAAGGCAGAAATCTTAGTTGTTCTGCCAGTGAATACAATCACAACATTGACGTGAAAAAGATTTAATGTTCAATAGTTTCTCGAGTAGCAGGGATCTTCCTGCAAAGGGAACTGACAATTCACATTTCGTGCAAATTTAGTATTGTTGCAAACAAGTCGTAATGTGTGGTTTACTCGGAAATTTAAATTCAAAGAAGACCTGTAATCTTTGCTGCTATTTCATAGTTTAGACCCAACACTGAAATACATGCTGCTGCTCCAAGTTGACGATATGTAAAATTAAAGCTGTAAAGATCTGCCGTACAAAGATCTAGAACCTAAAAATAAAAGTAAGTGTGCATTTCATTTTATCTGAATTATAAAAGGGCCATTTTTAACTGTGGTAAATGACATAAACAGTAATAAATGAATGACCATTTGTTCTTTAGATGAAATTCTTTGTACTTCAAATAAATTTGAATCAGTAAGCAGCAAAGGACTTAGGAGTTCGTGTTTCAAAGAAAACGCAGAAATTTTAGTTGTTATGCAGTGAATAAAATCACAATACTGGCGTGAAAAAAATTTAATGTTCAATAGTTTTATTCAGTTCAAAGCACATAAAATATACCTGTGCGATGGCAATCCGATTATTCCAATCACCTGGAGATGATGGTTCGCCTATGACGAGGTCGTCCAGTTCTGCCCATGTGAAGAAATCCACTTCTTCATCATCAGATACTCCTAATGTTATTTTTGTTCGTTTTTTAGTTGGTGTTGACTGATGGGCCAAGGTTAGATTACAAATTCGCTTGTATATGGTATAAACTCGCGTCATATGCGTATATATTTTAGCCCATTCTAAGGCAGTTATAGTCCTTAATGACCAACTGACACTCTAAAATTAGCACTGTAAGATTAGCTGCTTTCTCATATCAAACTGGAAATTTGGGCATTTATGAACTTCGGTCCATTTTCTTTATTTCTATTGTTACAGAGAGCAGGAAAGATTTATACTGAGGAGGGTTCGTGCTGCGCATCTGCTAATGCATTACGTAGTTGTGGAATATAAAAAAATTGTCATACGCTAATTATTTTCATTTCCAGTTCGAACATATTTTCTGTTTCCAAGCGACCACATGGGGAAACTTGACGTACGTAATCCGCTATAGTTTTCCAATGGTTTTTCCGCCTTTCCTGAGTTACTTAGTGTTATTTCATTGAGAATCAATCAACGCATTTTGTACTTTATCAATTATACTCTATGGTTAACAACGTGTTGTTTCCTTGGTGTATTAAAAGTTTTGTGATTCAACCACTCATGACTTCTCTTTTTTCAAATAATCGAGAAGGAAAAACTCCTACATGGCAAAATGTAACATCTAAGTGGGATCTATGAGTTTCAAGTTCTTCGGTCCTCAAAGTAAGGGATTCAGTCTGTTCTAAATCCAAGTGTATCAAGGCTAGTTAAAAACACTGCTTGAATTAAAAATCGGACATAGAAAATCAACCTCTAATTTAGAAGCGATGAAGACAACGAAAATCCCTGTGAAAATTACATCTCCCTTATCCATATTTGCAAAGTCAAACATGGTCATTACACGATCGAATATGTCTACAGCACGGTGGTATGTTTCGCGACGATACTCCATATGTTCGCATAGCTAGAATCACGCTTACTTTGTTTGGATCTTCTGTGCTTATGAGCTGTATCGTATTAGCATCATTAATAAATCAGTTCATTATTCGTTTCTTAAAAATAACTTTTGTAAGAAAGTTATTACTTGCATCATTAGCAGGAGTGCAGTAATTCGGAAATGAATGCCTTTCACCTTCTTTATCTTGCATCTTCCCACTCTTCTTTCGTCAAGTCTATCACGCGAATTGCAAAGGATTTGCCAGACCTGTAACTCATATCTTTCTATAAATCTACATATCGCTTTGTCGTCTTTTATATAAAATTCTGGAAAACATCGGTACAGAAATTAGGAATGACCTGTCGTGGTGAACCAAGACAATTGCAGCTGAGGAAGTTTGACGGGTCGTTATAGACTTCAACATCTGATGCATTAGTAGAGGATTCCGGAGGAAGTTTTGCATTATCACTCAATCTGAACACAATTCTTTTGAGTATTATATGAACTGCTCTTAATAATGTGAAATTATTTTGTCAAAAAAATAACAGTGTATCAAGTCATTTTGAAACATTTGAAGAAAGCATCTTAAATACTACTAAATTCCTTGAATAAAATTCCAGTTATTCCGGTGAATCATCTAAGTAAGTTGTTATACGGATATCTCTGAACTCTCATATTTCTCAACAGGAGCAAGCTTTCATACTTTATTATACAAAAACAGTACCATTAAAACCAACCTGCGTTCGCTTTCAATTATTTTCGCACTACGACAATCTGAAATTAAATGTTATGCATGGTATAAATAAGACAAAAAATTGTTTAGGAGTAAAAAACTGGATTCAAACTGACTTTCTTCCGTAATACGACGATACTTAATAGGTGGTTCAGAAGACTCTGTTGTTTTGTTTAACAAAGATCTTCTTTTTTTATCTGTACCATGCATAGCTTCTAAAATAGAATAATAATTTCAAGGCATATTACTAAATCTCTACACTTTATCTGCAAAACACATTCATTTAACACTGTAATCACATTCACTGTTCAACTTTTCCTTTTATTAACAAACGACAATTTTGATTAACAAAAGATAAGAGAATTTGATTTAAAAAAGAATAGTAAATGTAAAGATAAATAAAATTACTTTGTATACAAATATCTACACTAAGTCTAAAAGACTCAGACTTAATTCTCAAAGATGTTCAATAACAACAATGATCAAAAGTTTCCCTATCTTTTAGAGGATCACAGTGCATCAACCGCCATCAATAGTATCAGGCGCTATAATTCTTTATCTTATACTTTCTATTTTGATCAATATTTCAATTTCGCCGACCTACATCATAATTTGTAAAGTCTGTCCATATCTGCAGAAAAATTTCTGTATCATTCAAATTGCATTCAGACGAATCGAACTGAAGTAGTCAACGATTTGGAATCAGACAGAAGAAATAAATTATTAATATAGCATAGACCACTGATCTTTCAGGTTTGTGGTCGGAAGAGAAATTAAATTAAACTTTTTGTTTTAAACTCGAGATGCTACGTTGTCGTCTGTACGTTATTCACAATTTATTACTCGAATGCCTGAAAATTTCTCAACCCTACATTCATAGAAGCACTTCATTCACATCTCATTTGTTAATCATATACTGACAATTATTAATTGACTGTTTTTGTGAAGCAATAATTAACGACGATGTAATACGTGTATTGAGACATTATAATTTCTGAGTCATAATTTCTAACAGTCATTAAATCATATACCATTCCCAACATACTTAAGTTCTTCACTAACTTTTTATAATTCGTCACTAGTTTGAACTTTGATTTATTTCCAGTGAAAATACTGTTACAGGAAATTGGAGCATTTCGCAGTAAGAGACACGATTCAAAGCAATGCATCGCTGTTACATTGTTCAAATTTCTAATTTAGATTACTTCCTTATAACTTACCTAACACCATAGTACTCCAACAAAAGTATCATTAAAGCAGAATGTAATAGCACTTTTGAGACAAATCAAATATGTTAGCTTGGATTTTCTTTCCATTTTATGTTAACGCTTCCTCTAGCTTATCAGTTTTTTTGGGATTTGACTCTTCGAATATTAAACTTCAGTTTCTTCCTTGTCCCAAACACAACTTTGGGATGTTAATTCTATTCCAAAGTTCAATTAATAATAAATTATTTAAAAAAAAATTTGAGGCCATAAGGTCTTTGAAAATACACATAAATAAGGATACAGAGTGCTTTGTTTAGAACTCATTATTACAATAAATTTCTGAAAGTAACCACTCCTTTTTTTAGTTTTCATTTAAAATCACTCACCCCTAATTTAATATTCAAAATCATTATGGATGTTAACTCACGCCATATAATTTTATCCGCCTTTTGCAAAGAGATTTGCAATACACTTTCATTTTCAGTCAATGGCCAATGTATCTCCCCCAGGACGGGATAAACACTTTATTGGGTGGAATGTTCGGTTCAGTCCTTTCATACAAATTATTAGTCGTGCACATACCATTGATAATACCACGGCTAAATAAATTTTCATAGTATCTGCACAAATTTAGCATCCTTAAATGTTCAATGGATAAACGCATAGTGTCAAAACGTTACTGAGCAGAGTAAGCTACTGATAGAGTAGTATGTAAGTCTGAGATGCTTTTTTGGAAGTAGAAGCAAATCGATATTTCAATTGAGTTTTTTATAGTGACAACACTAAAAATGTTCATATATCCGCAAAAGCATTTAAGACATGATAGATTTATGTTGAAACTATGACGCGTAACGTCACTGTAAAGCACTGGCAAATTTGCTAAAACCAGCAACAGATGCCATGTACCAACAACCACGTGGTATGCCTTTTTTGATAGGTATTGAAATTAACTTCATGAAATTCCATAGCTATATCGCAACACTCATATATAAGGCAGGCTACGTTTAATTAATCGTGCAGAAGATTGTTTTTATCCAGAATTACATTTTTATTCAAATTATTTGAACCTAAATGAATTGCTTCTCAAAAAAATATATAGCGTTAATATAAGGCATTGTCATAAATTCACCTGGAAAAAAGCACTTTCCATCTTGAACATGAGTTGCCGCACTGCAGATCTTTGCTTGAAAAAATGAAATACTTGAGAAACTGGATCAGAAACTGGACGAAGAAAATCACAATAAACACAAAGGAATTATGCTAATATTCACCATCCTGGTATCATTGACAAGTTGGTGCAAAATCGGACAAATCCAACGTTTATCAGTAAATAATTTCTATGACATTCACTACCCCAGCCATGTTATACATGCATGTCATAATTTCAACACTTGAAAAAACTAAAAAACCCAAATTAATTTAATTTTCACACAATGGAACAATGAATTTCTGACAGACCTAGTAATGCTAAGACTGATTAATATGCCATGACTTATGTTTATTTCTCAGAACTCTCATGAAACAATGAATTAAAATGAAGCACAATTTAAAATCGTATCAAATCGGGAAATTAAACGTCCTTAACCAACGAAATTAAACATTCATTACCAACCATATATGGTCTTGAGTAGGAAGACTAGCTATCTGCTTCTGTTCATCATCGTAAAATTTATCAACAAAAGTACCTGCACGTGTAAATACCTGAAACGGAACCGACACAGGAATTCAAACCGAGTGGAAATGAATCAATCTTACAACTGTTAATGGCTACGAAATCGTTATCCTCAGTCTGTCATAAAGACAGCATTTCAAAGCAGATGGAGTTAAGAAGAGGAACTCACGTCAATTATTCTCTTCTTTATTGGCTGCAATAAAATATTTTCAGTTTCTTTGAAACCAATATAAAGATCGAAACATTCTTTGATCTATAATAATATTAAATGAAGTTATATCAGAAATATAACAGTCCATCAAATATTACTAGCAGTGAATTCAATTAAACAGAAGAACAGAGAAAAAACAGTAAGATATATCGAGAATAAAAAAAGTTTAAAAAGTAGTTTAAAAAAGTCTACCTCAGGCCATAAATGGGTCACTTTTTTATATGCTTGACCGGCAAAATTTTGCATGCTACTTGCCTTCAGAAAATCGTTTTTTGCAAGGTCAAAATCAGCAGCTGCTGCCTAAAACAGAAGCTATTGTACAGAATGGCTTCGAAAAACTAACGTAACTAGATAACATAAAGAAAGAACTTTTAGTAAAACCAAGGTACACCTTTTTGAAATGACTTACTGTCTTCTCTGCTTTAGCAATATAATCAGCAAACTCAAAAATAATCATATCACTGGTTGTATTTATCAGGTTATGGCAGTGAGCTTTCAACCGAATATCAATAATTCGCCGGCTATCACCAGCTGCTTCCGTAACTGCCAGTGGTACCTTAAAATGAATCAGTTAACAATGTTTAGGCTGCTAATACATTATGTAGCTTTCAAAAAAACTTTGTATATCTGAAAAATAAACAGTACTATATAAAAAACAACTTAAGTTATTGTAATAATATAATATTATATGGGAAAAAAAATACTTGCAACAAAAATTCCAGGAAAGCATTATTTGATGTCAACTCAAACCATCTGTGACGGTCATGAAAGAGCTGCGAAGCGGAAGTTCTATATTTGCTAAAGTCGAACACGTAATCACGCTGCGGAATGTTATCAGAAAGCGTGCTCCCTAAAATTAAAATTTCCTTATCAAATCGATAAAACTGCGTTATAACAGTTTTGTAATTCGACTGACATAAAACCAGTGTTACATTACTGATATATATCTATGAATTTATAGAAACTAGTAAAAGGATTACTTACCAGGTGGCATAGTGACCCTATACGGACTTGTTTGCTCACGCAGTATCAGCAAATGTTTCACGATAAATAATTCGGCATCCAGGAATCGACGAGAGAGCGAAATTTTTTCCGCAGCGCTATTCCGAATCTGTTCTGCTGCATCTTCCAATGATTGGCAACATGCTGTCAGCAGCTCATGAGCAATGCTTTGGAATACTAAAGGCTAAAATATTGGCGGCTTCATAGTTTTAAGCAAAAACCTAAAGTCCGTTAAGTCCAGATCTAAGTACATTAAACTGAAGAAGTTAAAAAACAAATTACCTCTAAACATTTGAATAATTTAGAAAGAGAAAGCACGGTACGTCGGACAGTTGGATACCACAAACAGTAAAGATTGACTGCAGATGTTGATGAAGTTGCATTTATATCATCCTGAATATTTTCTGTTCCGTTTCTATATTTTTAACTTCTAAAAACTTTAGTAAGGAAATATTGATACTAGAAAAAACAATATCTTTTCTAAAGTGTGTTCCTTTTCAATCTTTCTCATCATTTCCAATTTCTCAGGATAGGCCAAATCTCCACTCGATGGAATGAATTCGGCTATATCCGATTGAGCGTACAAACTAGTTCTGCAACTGTCTGGATGATAACGCACAATACACATGCTTTTAATAGTGGAGCAATGAAATCACAAACTAACGGTTTAATTTAATTTAACAATATCAATTTAATCAAATAATATCAAATTCAGATATGAAATATGAAAACAGTGCTGAGAAACTCACCTGTAAACAATTCGCTCAGCAATATCACCCAACAATTCAGTCATAACACGTACGAATCCGTTACGAGGATTCATATATTCATCAGTGTAGAACGGTAACGATGTACCAGCATTCGTATAACCTGCCAATCGTTTTACTGACATCACTGATTGCATAAGGCCACAACGTTCTTCAATCATTTCAACCTTAAACTCTTAAAAGCGTCCAAATGAATATATTTCGTCATATGAGTGTAGTTCGCTACAAACATTCCTGTGTATTAACATTGTTTAGATCGAACTAACATTTGATGAGGAAACATTTTATTTTGTTTGTGGATTACTTCCTGTCAAGCTAAGCTGCACACTTTTCAAGCTATACTGTCTCATTCATCAATTATGAACTATTATTACAATCAACATTATATAATTGACCTGGTTTTGTTAACCACGACTCAGTCCAAACTTTACTAAATGTGTAAACTAAAGAAAAAAAAATCTGAAATTACTTTCAAAATCGTGCATAGTTCAGTTAGGGTTTCCAAATGTGGATTATGTATAACAATAGGTCGCAGAATATCGTACAAAACACGACATAGTGACTCGATAAAATCATCGAACGATGTTGTCCCTAAGTTGAATGAGGCCGAAATTGATGCATGCGGATCTGATGGGATTGATACTGTAGCAGGTCTTGAACCATTATCGTCATCGTCTAAAACGTTCGTTCTCAAACTTAAAAGGCTTTATAGAACAAAGGAAATAACTATTAAAATTCCTTCGGGAATTTTGCTCACCACGAACTGTAAAAAACTGCTTATATAGTCGAAATTCATCGTCGCAAAGTCGGAGTAAAAAAGCACAACCATTTCGAGTCAATGCACAAGAGCTGCTTTCATGAGTTCTGCACAAAATTAAAAATTAGTATGATTAAAATTCTCCTCAAAAAGAACAAAGAAAGAAACAACCTTTTAAGTTCTTCAATAGTATTTTTTATAACAGGCTCAAGCATCTGATATCGTATTTTAAAGTAAGCTTGCTGGCAATCAGCTGTCATCAACTGAAACTCTGTGATATCTCGAAAGTGTTGCTCAGCAACATTAAGAGCTGATCGAATAGAATTGGCTCTGGCAGCAAAAACACCATATAGGAGTGCGAAGGTATCGTCATCAGTATAACCACTTTGACGAGCTGTAGAAATATGTAAGTTATTTCCTATTCTCTGAGTATTCCTTAAAATCCTCCTTTATTTAAAAAGGCAGTAACAACATACTTTCGACATATAGCTTTATATGCCTATCCTTCACGGCATTATGGCTTGCTTCCAGATCGGCCATAACACCCATTCTTATCACTGTCATTGCTCTAAATTTTATCAGTTGCAAGCACTTAAATGATTGAAAATGTTATTTGGAAAATTAACAAATTCCGACTTCCATATACCTTTGTATATAAAAAAAGATCTTGTAAGGTCATTATTCTGAAGTGTGATTATGCTATTCAAATACTTCACTAAATCAACATAGCATCCCATCATTCCTCCATAAAAAAAAATAAATGATGAGAATATTCACGAAAAAAAATGAATGATAGAGGGCGAATATTTATAAAAAAATAGTAAATGATAAACGGGGAATATTTCCACACATAGGATTACAGAAAAATTAGTACTTTGACAAACACTGTTCATATTTCGTAATATAAATTCTGGAATCCTTGTAATGAATATGGTTATTCAAAAATCTCAAACATTCATCGATTGTCGATAAAATCTGTGTAAATACTTGTCCCGTTATCGAAAATTTTCCAGTGCTTAATTTCTGGAATATATTTACAAAGTTTGAAAAAGAAAAAACAGAAACATTAACCTCCTTAAGCTATTTAAGATGTCTGAATAAGTATTCAACATAAATAAATGAGAAAAAGACACACTTTCATGATAGAGTCGTATTGAGTATAATAATAAAGATTGGCACAAATCTGTTCAGCTCCAGCAGCAATCTGCGTTTGGTGTGCCATCATCCGATCACATGCATTGTGTAATGAAGAGGTTCGTTCAGTGACAATTTCATAATTACTTCGTAACTTATCCACCAACTGATTAAATTGTGAAATTTTCATAACATTTATAAAAATGATACATGAAATAATATTTAATTAAATAGATCTGTTACAAAGCAGTAAGACGGAAAAAAAAAGCTGATGTAGGAAAAAGAAAGGAATTAGGAATTGAAATATAAAACTCGTACTGATAAAAGCACCTCAATGCACTTATCATAGCGTTCTTTCACCAGATCTATACTTTCCTTACAGATGTGCAGCAAACCAATTTCAGCATTCTCTTCGATAATACCACTCGAAATGTTTTCCTTCTCAGCGATGTACAAATCCGACAAGTAACTGAAGAAGAAGAATCCAGATGACTTTCAAGTTATTTCAAGAAAGCTAATATTAAACAATATTTCTTTTTCTCTGTTCTAAAAAATGACTGCAGAGAATCTCCAAAAACCTAGAGATTATTTCTTCTCAATTCATGTTTTGAATTTTATCGCCTTGAAAAAAATTCACTTTGACATTGAACATTAATGTACATGTAATGGGAAACAAGAGAAACCTGTAAAGTAAATCTGCACTTAGATTCGGATCTAGTACTTCGAAGTCCTCCAATTCTTTACCACTTTGTAAATCAGCTAAACAATAACAAATCATTATTCCTACCAGCACAAGAAAAGCTCTTATTTTCACTAAGCATAAGTTAATACCTTTTCAATCCAAGAACTCTGCAAACGCAGCATATTCCAAAACTTAATGACTGAAATTCGTCAAATACTAAAATCACTGACTCGTCTTACAAGCCTTTACTGCTACAATCTGCTATAACAACCCATAAATCTCTCTCGGAAGAATACTTCAAATTATTTATAAAGTTATAATAATCTCACCATTGTTCGCAAGTGAAGGCAGTCCATAATCAGCAACTTTAGTAATCAACAATTCAACTGTTTTCTTATGCATAGATCCGAACGGACCCATCATAGACATATGTACTCCTGACGATACCCTAGAAGTTATATTGAATGCTAACAGGACAGATTGCAATATTACGTTAGTAATCAAGTCCATATATTAAAATATAAATTCAAGTAGATGTACACGAACCAATTATCACTGGAAGCGCCAGCTCCCGGACAAAGGTATCCATGCATAAGCTATCCTTATATCACCCTTCCTAAGTCGCAAACCTGATGTTATCATTACTGCAAGGACAATACCACTGCACATCCACTGATATTAACATGAAAACCACTTTATTATTTTATTGCTATCATTCTCACATCAAAAGACAATTTCGGGATCTAAAAAACAATGAATAAAATAAACAGAAAACGCTGCTGGTACTTCAAGCATGTTCCAAAATATTCTTCCATGACTATCGCAAATAAAACCACCCAAGAAACCAAAAAACATTCCGCTGCTTTTAAAAAGAACCAGAAGGTATGAACTACTTAGATAAAAATAACCACACAATCAGAAAACATAGCAACAACATAAAAATGACTAAACAAATAAATATTCCTATTATTCAAAACTCTAAAAGAAATCAGTCTCAAAAAAATCCCAGATTCGTCCTGCAAAATTGCAGGATGATCCAAATTCGAATAATCTAGAAAAGTAAAGTGAACATTCTAAGTAAAGTGAACATTCTAAATCTCTAAAACATACAAAACATTAATAAGATGTGAGTTAAATATCATAATGTATCACATTTTTAAGTTCCTTGAACAAAAATCTCTGCTTCATATCCATTAAATGTAAATTCTAAGTCATTAAGTTATTAAAAATCACTAAGTTATTAATTATAATTCCTGGAACAAAAACAAAAACAACAACATTATTTGTCTAGTCCAATCGCTGTGTTTGCTTCCGCTGCCTAGGGGATCCTGATTTCGGTGATTTGTCTGAAATTTCAAAACATAAGATCTATGTTAGTGTAAGGAATATTCTTAACTTAAAGTTAAGAATGACTTTCATGCAAATCACTATTCTCCGGAAAACTCTCTGAAATTTTCTTTTCTGTTTATAATATACAAATAACGACAAAACATTAAAATAAAACTCATACTGTGATTAAGTACTTCACGGGGGATCCACTCAAAATCAACTTCGTTTTTCTTGCTGGTCCCTATTTCAGTCAGTTGTGTTTGTCGACTTTTGGCCATCCCATGTCTTCTTGTCAACTAAAATATTTTAGCAACATTCAAATATAAAAAATAAATGATCAACAAAAACGAAAGTTTTGGATTATTTTATACTTGGTGATTTAAATTATATTGTCCCTTCTTCGTATGTGGTAACCACAAGCACAGCTTCTCAGCCCTTTTCAAGATCAATATATGCATTTCAAGTTCCATGTTATTTAATCAAAAACTTCATCAACATCTAATGATTTTCCTTTTACATCACTTCACACCACTCACTTTTACAGCTGTTAGTATTTACAACAAATATATCTGTAAACTCCATGCATGAAAGCGACAACCTTGGAAAGAAAATGCTGTCCAGCTAATAATATTAGCACAACAACAGCCGCGAAAATGACGTACAGAAACCCAGTTTCTGTGTTGAAATTTGATTCATCCTCTACAATCGTTATAGTTTCGTTGAAAACTGTGTTTTTATATCCTTTTCCATCACTATCCTCATATTGTAGTTCTACAACAAGTCCCAGCGGCCGTCCAGCGAATTGATCAGACGGGTAAAAGGCATAGTTAAAGGTAGCTTCCTGTTTAGCTGCTACAATACGATTATATTGCACCCTCGAAAACTAAAATAAGGAACACATGAAATTAAATAAGGCCTCAGCAAAAAAAAATTGAATTTAACTAAATTAAATTTTAAAAAAAATTAAATTTTTTAGTAAAATTTGAGTAACCAGATTTAACTAAGTACGAATTTATCAAAACTCAAAATACAAACATTTTGTATGTGATAGCTGAAATCCTGTGGATAGCGGAAAGAAGTCTCGCAAAAAAGCACAGTAAATTCTTTCTCGCCATGGTTTTGAAACCCCATCAAGAATTGAACAAGCTTACCGCCAGGAAGGCCTGAAAAAAAAAGTTATAGAAAATTATGCTTTTTTTTTTTTTTTTTTTTTTTTTAACAAAGGAGCTAGGAAGAGAAAAATCAATAAAAGTACCTTCCGAATGCTCAGGTTGAGTAAAAATGAAAGCCACATGAACGTCGGGAGAAGGTTTCATTACGTTGTCAACTTCCACTGTATCGGAAATCTGGAATGTTTCATATTTAGTGATAACAATTTTATTCAATTACGAATTGTGTATCACTTGGCCAAATTTTATAATTCAAATTTATAATTTTAAATAAAAAATTTTTTTATAATTCTTAGGAAAGAAAACTGAAATTCAGAAAGACGAGAACAAACTGTTAAGTCCCAGTAATGTCAAACAGACTCATTCATACCTGTTTTCTTACCAATAAAATGCTTTATAAAGAAATTTCCAAATTGAAATTGACGGGGTATCATTTAATAACTACCTTATCCTCGGAAACTGCGATGATGTCCTCTTCGTTTACAGAAAGCTCCTCTTCAACTTCACCGTCCACTGCATCATCCGCTTTCATAGTAATGAAACCTTAAAGCACTATCAACTGACATAAATAGGTTGTAATTTCCTAGAACTAAGAACAGGTTATCAAATCACAAAGAGTACGTTCCGACTCAATAAAAGGATTTTACTTTCTATGGGAATCAGCTTCAAGAATACCTAAAATGGGGTAAAGAATGATACTAAAGCAACAAGTTAAGCGAAATGATAAGCAGCGTCTAAAAGACCAATCTTGTGCAAAAATTGTAAACCCAGACTATATCTTTCATAATTTTTCTCAAAATTTTTTTTTTAAAAAAATTTTGAAAAAAAAAACGAAATGTCGTTCAAATCATCAACATTCTCTTCTTAATAATTTCACTTGAAATTATAGCTGAGGGAAGTACTACTCGGTGGAAATGACTAGGACAATTTTAAAATAGGTGACAAAATACGCCATGTATGAAATGACTTTGAAAGGCAAACTCACAAGTTGATAATGCAGCAAGTCCAAGAAGAAGTCGAAGTATTCTTCTGCTGATCATCTCCAACCCGTCAACCAGCAACTGTCCACAATACTGCCAACTCCCCAAGTCGCCCTCACTGAACTATTCCAGACAACCGGGTCCACAAACTGCTGGAAGAACGCTGCAACACTTCAACAACTGCAAACTTTCAAGATGTGTCGAGATGGAGGAGGATGTGGTAGTTCGGAGGTGATGTAGTAAGGGGGGTCACGTTTCATGCAACCTTTTCCGGTTAGAGGAAGTGGGAAAGAAACGGAGTGGTTTTTCAAGAAACACTGCTTTGAGTTTTCTGAATGTTTCATGTGAAAAGTGCATTAAGGAACACAGAAGGTCAAGTTCCCACAATTCCCTAACAGAAAAATGAAGAATTCCGTGGGCATTCCGATCTAGTTCAGCCTCAGTTGAACGCCACGTAACATTATTAAGTACTGTTAATCCTCTTTTTTTCATCCTTATTTCTGATCATTCTTTTTACGTAGTAAATTATCTCTATAATGTGTTGACAAGACGAATGCAAGGCCATCCCAAGTTACGTCACAAACTCAATTATTTGTGGAGTTCATTGGTACCGTCCTTATACTCAGTATGATGAGAATGATTTGCAGCACAAAAATTTTTGGATTGTATCGTCACTTCACATGGAGGGAACAAAGTTATAGATCACCATTACTTTTTCTGTTCATAATGCAGTATTTTCTAATATTAGATTTTAAATTAATCTAGGTTCTTTGTTGTACAATTTAAAAAAGGGAGTTCAGATTAGATCTGAAGTTATTTCAGAAAGTAAATGAAGATTTTAGAAGTGAAGAACGGTAAAAAAAAAAAACGAGCCATGCGAACAAGCGATTTTTAACCCATCCTTTTTATTAAATCGGTCAGCATCAACAGTCTGCTTGATCAGTGTCTTTTTTATCTCTTTGATTTGAAGAGAATTTTAATCAAATATGTTGCGAAAAACCGCTGGCGAAATATTTCATTTCTGAGAGCAATTGGTGCATGTTAGAGATTTAAATAACAGATTGTAGTAGTAAATTATAATTTTTGACTGATTGCTTGCGTTTCCAGCTGACAATTCCGTCTTGTGATAAATTTTAGTATTAACATCATGATTAAGATAATATTGTAATGCTATACTAGTATTATGTTTTCAACCAAGTTATGATATTGGAAAGGAGCAAAGAAATTTTAATTATTAGCTTTTTGTGCGATGGAGCTTTCATATCATCTCCAAAATTAGAGCAGTTGATTCGAAATTTATCGTAACGGGAAGTATGCAAAGCGAATATGCTTGCCACTGAAATATTCTAAGTAGGATCCTGTAAATTTGCTTGCAAGATAACCATTTTACTTAGAAATTCATAATGTTTAATTTAAGAGATAAATTCATTCCTGTAAAGATTACAACTTTCTTTAAATTTAAGTGAATTTCAGAAATCCTTTCCAAGCAAAATCGGTTGGATATAATTCCAAAAATTTCAGAATTCCAAAGACGGCTATTGCAATTGGAGCAATTTTTGCAATTCAGCTCCCACACCTTATCAATAACATCAATAATTATTCACTGATAACAAATGTGTTTGACTGATGCATACAATCGGAAATCTTTATACCCTTCGTTTCCGAGATGAATTAAAAATCAATTCTTATATCTTTCTCACGAATTTTCTTGTATCTATCACCGAACATCCACATAAGCAGCTATTCGGGTTGAACGACAGTCCGAAGTTTTACGTGAAAACCAAATCAAATCCCGTAAATTGCATTGCTTTTTAATATTTGACATTCATTTGATTTCTGTGTGTGATTTGATTTCTTTTCATGACTCTGTGCTTAACACTGCTTTAAATTTTTATAACTTTCCGTTTATATTTTGAACTTACTATAAAAGAAACATCTGTCACAAAGGACGAGTGTGACCATATTTTTACTTTTTCACATATCAATCTCAAATGAAGAAGTCAAAGCGATAGTTGTGAATTGCTTCTGCATCAAAATAAAAACAGAACTACACCAATGTTATATATAGAACAGGAATTGAACTGATAAGAAAAGTAAACGAATGAAAGATTCATTTACAAATGGAAAAAAGTTTAACCTAATGAATACATCCTATAAAATTAAATTTACAATAACGCTCGACAAATTTGTCTTCTTTACAGACTGCATATCTCCAGTTCTTCAAGAATGATCGCTATGAACACTGCATGTTAAATGTACAGTTAGTATATCTGGGTTATTAAAAGACCGAAAGTTAAGCCCATTAGGAATTCAACGTTGCAAAAATTTATAAAAATTGAGCAGTTCCCACTTTAGTTACAAGTCACTCAATATTAAGCATAAAGAAAATGTTCAAATGACTTCAACGAAAAATAAATCAAACACTTCGAAAAAATACAGGAATGCAACTTAAATGTTGGCAAGTGGAGACAAAGGAAATACGAAAAATCCGGAAGGACATGTTTCAATGCCTTTTTACATATGTTTTAAACTGAAACACCATCAGCTTAAAACTTAAAATAATCACAAAGTTCATCACAATCGTACACTAAAACTGCTGGGTGGTTTCAAAAAATCTCACAAGAAACCTAAATCGACAATTAAACTGATTTTAATACAGATCACATCTACACGCACAAATCATTATTCTCAACGGGTTCTTTAGGAACTATGCTAGGTAAACGAAAACACTGAAACTAGGCTTCTTTTAAAGATTCCGATTAACTACCATCAATAATTTGATGCGTTGTAATAATAAAATGTGCGGTGTAAATTAACCGTAAAATAATTAATACTTGGCGCATAAGCAAACAAATTACCTATGTTGTGCGATCACAACATCCCAAAAATAATGCTAGAGGTAGTGAGGAGTTAAAAGCCACAGAAATAAGTTCACAGGAATTTCAATGTTCCTACCAAAACGAAATAAACTTCCTACTGAATTCATTGTTCGCTTTTTAAGTTGAACGTGAGACATCCTAACCGATAACATTTCGGAACCATGAAATAATCAGAATGTCTCAAGGAAACATTTGCTGGTAACAGGAAAACTCCAAAATAATATTTAACCGATTTTTCCGCTGAAAATACACAATTTGAAAAAGAAAACTTACATGGAAATTTAAATTTTAGTTGGAGTATTGACAAAATAATGAAGAGGCAAAATTGTTATTCACTGTGAAATAGTGAACCATATCTCTTGTAGGACAACAGCAACATAAAAATCACTTACAAAAATGGTTTGATAAAGCTTTTGTCACATTCCGCTAAATAAACATATCATTTTCTTTCATACTTGTTTTAAAAATTTTTGAATGAATTTAACTCACAAACGTAAATTTCAAAATTTTCATAACTTCCACAACCAAGTATTAAAGCCTGAGGTTTCTACCAAATTTTGCGGCTGCTTTCCTAAACCTAAAGTTGTAAATGAATTGTAAATAATCAACTCAGTAGTTAATTTCGGATAAGTTCGATTTAAAAAAAGAAAAAAAAATCACCGGATGGAAAGTTCAAATAAATAAAACACAGTAAAAAAAATAAAGCTATAATATTGGAAGCAGTAATGATAGACGCAGCGGATGTGTCTTCCCATAATGCACCATAGCGATTCCGTACTTTACTAGACAACGAACGCGGTGTCAACGAAGATGAAGATGCCGAAGGTGTACCTCCTATATTACTTACTTCTGTCGCTGTACCGTAAAGAACCAAATCCCATCGAATCAGTTCAGCATCTAAAGAAATTAGTATGTAAGCTGCAAACTGTGGAGTTCTAGTTTTGTATAATGCAGTCGGAAAAGGTGAGTTCTACATGAAATTAGCTCTCACGAAAATTTCATTTGAAAAATTTACCATCCCACCCATCATTATTAATTTCTAATGTCCATAAACCGACAGCCATTTCGCCCCAGTTATGAGTTGTCATGAAAGCCCATTCTCTGAAGCCTGTCCGTGAAGTATCGCGAGCTCGTTTCGCCAACAAAGTTGATCGAGTCCCTATAATATATATGGATTCTTAAAAAACTTCATAATAATCGTGCAAAAAGTCAATATAATGATGATGAATGTGATCTAAAAACAACAGAAAGGAATGAATATAGAAAAACTATCTCTATCCATTTCAAGACAACTGAATCAAATCTTCTAACTGTTTAGTATACTAATTATCATGGAAGTACAACCCACCTGAAGGTGAAGTGAGATAAATTTGTATATCACCCCGTTTAGGTGCAGTTAGAGTAATGATTGCCTGGACATGTTCAAGATATCCTACTTTGTTACGAGAATAGCTTGAGCAACCGTCTGTATAAAGTTGCAACTGCAATCGATTACCGTGTGGAACTATTCTAAAAAGAAGGATATTAAGGAAATAAAGGTTAAAACTGAGGGAATTCTGGAATGAATGTTTCCTCCACTAAAATAGAGGAGAGAATTTTGATAACTTTATATAGACTTACTTTTTAGTGCAGTGATTCTTGTAAATTATGCCAAGATTGACTAAGTTATCTTAATATCGATTTATTTTATTTAAAACACACAATATATTTTTTGTTAAAGTAATTAAAGCAATATTTATTAAATATATTTTTTTGTTAAAGTGATTAAAGTAATATTTATTAAGCATGTAGATTTTAATAAAAACAATTATAGATTTTAATAATTGTATACTTCCCCTTCAAGTTCTGGTTAAGGGGAAGTATACATTTGTTAAAGTTTGCATATGAAATATACATAAGTTTTAACAATCGTTTGTGTAAAATTCTCTTCACTACAGTTAGGAAGACTTCGTACTGAAAAGTCTAATGAACCTATAAAAAGTAATTATAAGAAGCAAAGTGTTTTCTTGCAAGTGCTCGAATGTAAATCCTCTCGATTCAAATTTAGTTGAAATCTGAATAACAAAAAAAAAGAACTAGCTTGTATCTAGCAGGATAAAAGACGACGCATTTCCTCTGTTCCGGAACCGTTGTCCAGTTATTAGCCAATCGGACCATCGCACCAGCATCCATTAAACCAAAACCAAATGAATGTGATACTTTCTTTCCAACTCCATTTGTTACCCAATCACCAGCACGAAGATTGAGCGGTCGAGCGGTGCGAACAACAATATGCTCAAACGAAAACTTTTATCACATTATCTTAAATATTGGCAATGTTTCTATGTCATTTTTCCATAGGATGAAGTTCCACATTTTATCCTAAAAGAACTCCTAGCGTATGTACATTTTATTCACTTGAGTAACAAACAAAATGGCATAACCTACATAATTCAGTTCTTAGCAATAATTGTTTCCCACTAGCTAATTGATCAAATGAGATTTTTTAACCCACAATCTATATTTAAGGAACAAATGGAAATTACCTGCATATCCCGCCATGTTAATTTAGGATTTGCTTCCAGAGTTAAAGCAACAATGCCAGCTGCTAGTGGTGCACTTGCCGACGTACCCGTATGAGCATTTGTACAGGAATGATGTAAATCTGTTGTTACCTGCAAACAAATGTACGAAATTTTAAATACCTATTAATGGTATTAGATTTATTTTGCAAAGAAGTACGTAAATTCTGGTATTTTTAGCCAGACAAATTTTTACAAATTTTAAACGTATTGTGACAGCGAGAATTCTGATCTCACGAAGAAAAAGTCACTCTCACAAGGTGCAACGTTAACTGAAAAATGGGTTTGAATTTGGAGATTGAAAGTCTAAGTTTACTTCGTTCGTAATGTCCGTGTATGAAATATTTCTTGAATGCTTAAAGCGATGAGTAGGACAGATAGCAAATATATCTCGTGGAAAGATAAATGTTCGCAAAAATAAACAGCTTATTGTTGTATCATCGCTTTTAGTTATCAGTTTAACATCTTCTGAACAAAATTTCAGGCAACTCACAATCATTTTTTCACCAGTAGCACCGCTACTATATGCAGTAGCTAGTGTTGAGCTACAAGCTTCTGAATACCACGGTATGTTGCCGTGTTCCGTTGCGGACGATATAGATAATGTATAAATACTATTAGTATATCCATCACAATTACATGAATCGGCATCTTTACCACCATTTCCACTGGCCCAAACAAATATCGAACCAAGACCACGACGACCCTGAAGAACAGCTCTTCATTTTAAAGATAAATGAAAGATTTTTCATTAAGGATTTCTCTTCTAATTTGACCAAGACAATTTACGAAAATTCTGGCTATTATTAATCATTATTAGGTTACTGTGTAACACAAAAAAAAAAAAATTTTCAAGGATAATTTTCGGAACAATTATTCAACACTTTCTTTTTGTTAACGACTCACCTCACGAATACCTTTTTCGAAAGCTCTTCGTGTTAATTTTGCTGGTCCATCAACCGTTCTGCCATCATCATCCGGTCCCCAGCTTGCCGAATAAATATCGATATGGTCAGAATTATGAGCAAGACTGGTTGCCTCTACCGCATCGGTCACATCACCATCCAGCATTCTAATCCCTATAAGGAGTTGAGATTTAGTACTTGTCTTCTCACGGAAAAACATCTTTTTCGAGCGATAAGCCTGAATGAATTTTATATATTATTAAAGTTATTTGAAATTTTAAATTCTTAACAATTATTTATCAGTTTCCTGATGCTAAAACTATTGAATATCTGAAAAATGAATACCTGAAATGGTAAATTTTTTATCCGGAACAGTGCAGTTGTTACATAGTTTCATATAAATTTACTTAATACGTAACTCTTGATAGTTTACTTGATAGATAAATACTAAAGAATGAATTTTGCTGCCTAATACGCAAAAGTGGAGTGAAGGATACTATCTGTGTGTCTTTATTACTGCGTCATAAGATGTTTAAATCAGCTTCCATGAGAAACTATTACAAATTCGTGAAATGATGCGAATTTAATCCTTCAAAACACATTCTTTCTTCGTTTTCACACTTCATCTCGCAAAAACCAGGCAAAATAGTATACCGCCAATTCGAGCATTATAGGCGATTCCAACAATACACAGTGAATTATTGAAAATAGCAGCTACTTCGCCAGCACATCGTGTTCCATGCCTATTCTCATCTGTGTAATCATACCGAGGTGTTGGGTCTTCATCACGATCATTCACGTCGTAACTAGCTTTCGCATCCTGGAAATAAAAATTTCGGCTTTCAGGGATTGAAAATATTGCGAAAGTAGTAAAAGAAGACAAATAATGTGTTTTGAACTATTCACATAATTTGGAGCAATATCCGGATGTGTTCGTTCCAAACCATCATCCAATATCGTTACAACTACACCTCTTCCTGTATAACCAAGATCCCAAGCTTCGCGTACATTATGATCCAAGCCACGATCATATGCTGCTGCATTCTGGAATTTATTTCCAAATGAGTAGTCAATAAAATACAAAGTCAAGAATTATATGATATGATTCTAAACTAACCAAATACCACATGTCGGACCACAACGGATCATTTAAATTATAATTTCCAACACTGCGGATATCGGCATTCCTGTTACGGCTGCTTGCATATTGTTGTTGAACATCGTCACTGCCTATTATTGTGAGGTCGTCACTAATTTCATTGCCCTGGAGATGTTGTTATTGAGTTATTGAATGTGTTTTAGAAATGAAAGAGACCCCAATCAGAAAAATCTTTTAATTCTTTAATTATTGATTATAATTATTGCAAATTTTTTTTATATGAATAAACAATGAGTATGTTGTATAAATGTAGCAATTGAACTGATCTATAAAATTCAGAAAATAAAAACATTTCCTTTGTACTTACTTTCTCTTTAACTTTCATTTAAAATATATATAAATATTATCCTGTAGCTATGTTTTTTCAATTATCAAATGAAACCGGAATTTATAAAAGCCAAAACATCAAATTGATTTTTTGAATCGACAGAAACACATAAAACAAAAAAGGTTAAACTCTTATTGGCATTATTAACTAATATTTAAGGTAAAGTTTATGGAAGAATTCACCTTAAATCGCTGCAAATGCACAGTTGATGAAAGAGTGTTCATCAACATGTAATCACGCTTAACTCGTTTTTTTGCTATTTGTTGTTCTATCCATTCCACCTAAAAACATGAGATTATTCTATTTCTATCCATTCTATCTAAAAAAAAAAAATGAGATTCTCAAACAGTACTCCTTTTTTAAACTAATCTGGCATATAAATCAGAGTAGTGCACAATACTAATCTCGAAATGTTGATAAGCTAGTGCACAAGCGGTCGGAGAACAATAAAATAACTTTCTGTCTTTGATTCACTTCATAACCTGGAAGCAAAATGCCAAAAATGCCGAATGTGGCTTCTCATCTGCGTATCATCTTCATGAATGGATCCATCATTAACACTGCATTTACTATTTCACTACTAGAAGAACAGAAAATACAACTTTGATTATAATAATTTAGTAGCTGTGGGCGTGGATAAAAAAGATAACTCTAGATGGATGATGGAAATGATTTCTAAATATTTCGCTCAAACATTTGAAAGTTCAGGATATATTAAGAGAAGAGCATAAAACTTCGGAATTTTAAAAACAACTTAAATGTAACAAGCATTAATAATTCATTTCTGCATAAATGCATTGAATGTTTGACTTACATTCAAACTAGCAGCTTATGTTTTGAGAAAAAAAACCTCCCTATTAGAAAATCAATCGTGTGAAGAGTTCATCTCAAACAAGACCACTTCCTTATTTCTTAACTTAATTGCAGCTAATTAATAAGTTCTCCACTTATTAATTAGCTGCAATAGCTTACAAAGCCAAATCAGCGATTGCATACTTTAATAAGCCCTCTTTTATTCCTTCAATAGTCGCTCAAGATTTTTCAACAAGCAGAATGGGGAAGAAGAAATCTAATGATTTAATATGTTTACAAAATGCTGGTACAGTTTTTAAAATGGTGACTAATGTTAACAAAAAAATGACCTTCGATTTTATCACAAAAGGAAATTTATTCGCAGAAAGGTGACAATGAAGATTTAGAAGAATTTAAGAATATTTAGAAGTTATCATTGACTTTTATTGCTTTTTCCTTTCAGATTAACATTCTGACCAAGTTATGCAAAAATAACTCAAATACAGCTATTGTAGCCACCCTTTATGTAACAACTCAGTCAGTATGATTCTAATCAAGGAAACAATGTGTTCGACACACCCTGCGAATGCCACAAAATCTTCGCTATTCTGAATTTAAACGAGTCTTCTTCCTACCATGAAGAACGTAATATTTGGTTAATCTGAACGGGCACAAGTCTATTAGCGACTTGGAATATATGAAAATTGCGTATGCTTCAGATGTAATATAGTTTAAAACCATATATCCGCTCTTATCTTATTAAGGCAATCATACTTAGAGTTTCAAAATGCTTACTCTGCAATTTAATGCAATGCAGAATAATTATCCAGCTTCAGTTTTTAGCAGCACTGCCTTTTTTCACCACCGAATAGCTGAACAGAACGTTTAAAAACTATTTTCTTATTCGTCTAATTAGTTCCGAAGAAATATTTGTGCGTTGCATATGATATGCAGAGCATGAAGACAAGATAAAGGTAAGATTACAAGTATTTGTGATGGAAAGACATTTGATTCATCCGGAAATTGTTTTCTGTTTGCAAATATGAGTACTAAGCGATAGGAGATAATAGTCTATAAGAAAAATTACGAACATCTGGCGAAGATCCTTTTCTTTCCATATATTACTATCTATAACAAATCGACAATATTGAAAATCAAATTGAGAACGAATTAGGAAGTCGAATAATATCGATACTGAAGGAATAAATGAAGTAAATGAAACCTATAAATACATGGAGGAACGAAAGAATTAAATAAAACCTTACCTTAGGTTCTCTTGCAATAGAATTCGTTTGAGCATTCCTTCTACGCCTTGTTGACCTCTTTCTTGTTTGTCGACTTTCGAACAAAAAATATTCATCATTCGGTAAAACCTTAAGTATGAACGTTGAAACTGATGATGTGATATGTTAACTGAGAACATATCAAACTGAAAGTTATAAATAATCCATGACTTTCTTCAAATTCCTCAGCAATTAGTGTCTTTCTTAATCATGAAGTTCAAAAAAAGGAATTTTCCGGTGCATTACAAATCTAACTGGATGGGAAGATTAATGCTTCAGTTGAATAGAAGTCGAACAAAAGTAAACAATCAAATATCAAGTGGACAATAATTTCATCGCTTTCGTAGCAATTTCAGATTCTACAGTCTTCAAACTGGTGAAACGATGTTAAGTAAAAACAGTACTACTTAAGGATCAGTTAGCAGAACTGTCATTGTTAAAATTATTAGGGCTTTGAAATCTTTTAAAATAAAAAATCAACGGAACAAAGATATGAAAATGCTATAAAAAAAACATTCTAACTTTCCATATTTAGCAACCGCGAACATCAGAACTGTTTACATTCTCTAGTCCTAATGAAGATCTGTATACTTAGCAAGAGAATCTCGACTCTAGACCGAATTTCTTAATTTTTATGGAGTTTTAAGAAAAAAACAAACTGGTCCAAGATTGATAAAGCCATATTTTGCCGCTAATTTATCCGCTTCCAGAGTATCACCACCAGTGATTCGCACAGCAAACTGATTAGTATACGCTTTGCGCAATGCTGTTGATGATGACTGGCTCGTTCCTGTTCCATAACTACCGTTATTATGATTATTACTGCCACCAACGGGTGTCAATTCGATCACCGCATCGGAAAAATCATCTGCTGCTACTGAGGAGAACTGGGGCATCGATAAAAAGGCCAATGATAAAACGATGAATAATAATGATGTCACAGGAATACGAAAGTGCTGACGCGATAATGAGCGATAGTTCCTGTTTAATGGACAAATCTGATATGTGGTGCAGTTTCCCTTCAAAACACTGTTTTCTTCATTCATTATAGGGAATTTAAAAACATCTGCATTTGAACAACAAGCCAATTCATTTTTTGCCACACTGTTCAAAGTATGAACTGACCTAAAAATAAGATTTCAAAATCTGGATTAGACAAAAATTTACTTCTCCAGAAAATGAAACAAACAGAAATAGTACATACTTTTACTCTATCCTACTTAAACAGCAGGAGTTAAATCAAACTTTACACAAAATTTAGGGTACAAATCAAGATTTCAAATCTTATTATAACACGGTTGAACAACTTACGTTTCATTGTTGATTTTAACTCGATAAGTTCCATGAGCAGATTTTTGATTGTCCCATACGGAATGTTTATAAGTTGAATTTGCACATTTCCTACTCAATGCCATTTATTTGTATCACCGAAAACTGTCGTTATTTTCGCAGAAGCGAATGAGGAACGATGGAGATAAGGTGTTAAAGTGTACCAAGTTTGTGGAATTCATGAACAACAACGATTTAATTTTAGGAAAGAGTAGTGACGAAGGTAAAAATATCCGATATTAGCTTCCATATATATATATATATATATATTTACACATTCGTTCTAAAATATTGATTATATTTTCATACTGATGCAAACGTTGTTTCTTGGGAAATGAACGCATAAAGAGAAAAAAGTGAAGATAAATAACTAATGGGGTATGCAAACAAACTCATAAGTCAAAACTTAATAGTCGGCGTAAATGACTCAGTCCTGACAGCAAACAGGTAGAACGAACTATAGATCGTTGATGTATATTATAGGAAGAAGTCATATAAAAAAAGAAACGAAGTAGAGCACAAGAATGAATATTTCCATGGGCAGTGATGAGATGTTAAATGATGAAATTTCGAAAATTTAATCATTTAGCACAAACTCTCTATTTAGCGATTTATTTGACGACAATATATTGGTCAGAAATTTTATTTTTTTGTCATAAGCTGATAGTAAAGGAAAGGAATTCCTCGAATTACTTACAACAATCGTTAATTGTATTGCCTTTGAACAATCTATAGAAAGCTGCTCAAAATGAATGCTATAAAAAAAAAAAAATAAATAAATAAATAAAATAAAAAGAGCAGGTGCAAAATATCCCTTCGCTTAAGAATCGGTTTGCACTGGGAAAGGATGAACTAATCCCATCCTACTTTTACATATATTTGTTAAACGTATATGCCTTACTTCTTCTCTTCTTTTGCTTTTTCAGCCTTTCCGCTGGCAAATCCTCTTTTTTCATTTCCGATTAATTTCTGTAGTTCTTTACTCAGCTAGCTTTGAAAAACGAAACTAATTTATTTCACTGCTCCTCGACAACAGTCATCTATCAATTTGAAACGCACATTATTTCGGTACTTCAACTTTGAGCCAGCTTGACTTTCATTGCAGCGTATTTGCACCACTCCATAATTATATATCCTTTCATGAATAACCTAGATGCATTAGTTTATAGGGGCAGAAATGAATTCACAACCAGACACTTTCTACTGCTCTCATCAAATATCACTGAAACTTCCCAACACAACCGTGCTACTAAATTTTCATTCAATTCAACTTAGTGCTTTTTTAGCAACAAATCTTCAGTTTTCATTGACTTATTCTTCCCACTTGGACACATCACTTCTGCATTGAAAAATAATACAGTGGTCACTCCTAGTGTTGAGAAAGACTACTAAGAGGTCTCTCACAAGATGCCCAATCGGTCAAGATGTAGCTGATTGGCAGTCGGCCTTATCTTCTTGTCCACTGCACTCTGTTCTTTTTTGAACAGTGACTACTAGTCTGCTACCTTTCGTTAACACCAAACTTTTCAAAAATTCACATTGATTCATCCAGCTCATCTCATCTTATATATTGCTCTTCATGAATATACACATGAAACATCAGCAGTGTTATCATAACTTGACTAACTCGAGACGATTATAACTATTATTGATTGTTTTATGATCTTTTCAGAATACCGTTTATCCACCTCTTGTAATCATATGTGAATGTCCTGTATTTTTTTTTTCTTTTCCTATTAATATCGCTAATAGTTTTTAGCAGCTTTTTATTAAAGCATCTTAGCTATAAAGCAGCTAATAGAAAAAGAGCACTGGACCCAACTCTTATTCAGGAAACATCATGTATACTTTACCAAAGTACTCTATATGTTGATCAATCTACGAATTTACCGTGATGCTTAGAATTTGGAACTGACTGTATTCATCTTTACATTACGATGAGTACAATAGAGATTCAAGGAAATAGAAAACGATCATTAAAATATAAACAGTCTGTTTCTTTCCTTAAACTAGTCATATATAACTGTTGATTAGTATGTGAAAAAGAGAAGTTCTTACGATGGCTTTTTGACGAAAAAGTATAGAGAAAAACAGAAATGAATGCTTTTAAGTCTCTGATTGAGTATGCGCAAAAGGAAATGTGATAAAACGAAATTGAGGTAAATGAAAGATATAAGAAACGACAACATGATTTATGAGATATTCATTTTATAATCGTTGAATAATTTTTAAATCTTTTATTTTAAAATGAAAATCGATGAACTTCATTAAATCACTCTATATTTCAAATGATTTCAGTTTCTTTCTGAGTCATCAACTTTCTGTTCTCCATTTTCGCTGCTGAAAAGCTCTCAAAAGGAAATAAGTGTTCCAATGCCCTTTCCCTATTATCATCAAAAGTTATATAAATTTTAGCATAATTGAGAAAATACATTTGTTAAGAAAATATCAAATAAAATATTTTGTAAAAATGTTAAAGTTTTAAAGAAAAGGAATTTGTGCCAGACATCGTGTCTAACTAATGAAATTGGAAGTGATGTTAGATGGCTGGATCATTAGTTAACAAGCTTAGCACTGTTAACAAAGCCAATAGCTGAGGAGAAATGAAATGACCAACTTACTTTTAAATGACATAAAAGCTCCATAAATGAACAGAGAAATAAGGTTAAATCAAATCGAAGACTTGCAGTCATTTTTTGCAAACCTAAACTTACGATAATCAAATTACGGTCTTGTTTCTGTCCATATAATAATTAGCCATATGGAAACCTCCATCAAAATATTGAAATCCTTGGAAAATTTCAATTACACTAATGAAACATAAGAAAAAAATGATTGCTTTACCAGACTGAAACTCAAAATATTTAATTTTTATAATTTAATGTGACATTAAATATCAGAGCTTATATTTAAAAGAATGAAATTACACGACTTTTGCTAGAAAAGGAATAAAAAATTAATTCGTCTGTCCAATAATGAAAGTAGTGTACGGATTATATTCAAAGCCAGATCTGATCTAAAACCAGTTAACGACACCAAAGTCTAAACTTGCTGTTTTTGCTATCCTTGAATTATTCCATAAAAAGGAAAATTCAGGGATTAAATCGGAAACATAAGAACAATCTATGAGAATCCAAACATATAAGAAGTGATATTTAAAAAATAATATGTGAAATAATTATTCAACAGGAAAAAAACTGTGATAATAAAATGAATAAAGCCAACATATAAAAAAGGAAAAGTGAATATAAGATGAAAATTAATACATTAATTAAGTCGCGCTAAATGAAGTTACTAATTCAGAGTATTTAAAAACGAATTCGGTGAACACTAACTGAAATCGTAAATATTAATCGAAACTGAATATGCAAATAAAAGCAAGTTCATTTATAATATATATAATATAATATATATATATGACATTCATTTATAAAATTCAGAAATTTTTAAATATGCATAAGTTTTTCTTCCGCAATCATATTCATTTTTTATTTCGCAGTTCAGTTTGTCTATTTTACATAGTTTGTTAGTTTTTAAAATCCTTAGTGACATTAAAAATATTAAATAACCAAAACTGAAATATCACAGACATGAATGAGTAATTCGATGACAAAACAAAATCGATCAATACTCTGGAAATTCAATTCAAATTTTCATATCAAATCAAAACTATATTCAAAACAAAGAGCTGACTGACCAACTATGGCTTGATACGACTTACTTCTCATGAGTAATATTAAAGATCTTCACGTTTATCAAAGCTAATATATGATGTTAAGATGTTCGTTAACACATTCGTAAATAAAAACTAGTAACATTACATATAACAATGCAAAAGGGAATGAATATGCATTCTAATTTTTGAATAAAGAAAACTAAACAGATAAATTTAGCAATAGTCTTAATAACTAAGTTTAAATGGAACGGAAAGAAGTGATGCAGGATGATGATGTAAATGTCCGGATGATTACCGGATATTCCAAATGAGCATTCCCTTCCCCCTTTCCTTTTGTATGATTTCAAGTTCCCACTGGAGAAGGAAATCTCCTTTTTTGTGCTCTATCTTTCCCAACAAAAGGAGTAGAAAAGTGTAAATACTGAGAGTGCAAAGAGTTAATGAGTTAGTTGATGAAGTAACAAGTACAAACCACTTTGTGTTAAACACATCCATAATCTTTTTTTCGGGGAAAAAATTAAGGAAACCATGCCTCTCTGCTCATCTGTCTGCATTTTCATCCACAAATAAAAAGATTCTTGTGCTCTATTCTCTCAAACAAAAGGAGTAGAACTAATAGTTTTGAACAAAAAAAAATTTTTTCCTTTGATAAAAGATTTAAAGCGCTAGAATGAATTTATCCATGCTAAAGGATTTTTAAAACTCTTCTCGAATTTGAAACTTGAATTTTAATTTAGAGAATTTACTTTTTACTGTTTTCATCCTTAATAAGCATGATGAAAGATTTTTAGGTACCATTTATATACTACAATAATGTATTAATAGTAATAATAATATTAGCTCCTTTACGAGGATTACAATAATTCGCAAGATAAATTATGGGAAAAGAGTAAACATCAAAATCAAAATAATTATCTCGGTCTCAAAAGACATTCTTAATTGAGCGAATACATCATTTTCAATGCACATGCAAAACATATGCAATTACTTACTTAGTCTAGAAATTGCTTGGTAAATTAGGAATGCTAATATTTTCTTTTGTCGATAATTTAGATGCGAAATTAAAAACGCATTACCAAATAATACATTTCGAGATTATATGAAAGGGATGTATAAAGAATGACTGACAATGTGCGCTCAAAAAGATCATATTAATAAGGAAATTATTGGAATTGACAAATTTAAATTCAATAACTGTTGTGTGGCAAATCTGGTTTTTGAAACGCTCTACATTGGTTAATTACTGTATGTTAAATGACTCATTTAGAAAAAGATAACATAAATTAGATGGAGAAAATGTGCTGTTGCAATCGAGACTTACTTGAAATCATTGAGCTTAAAAACAAAATCATTATCGTTATTAGATGATATTGAAATCATTGCTCTAGAAGTTTACTTTATATAGAAAAGGATGTAAGAGACTCTAATTGATCGATAGTTGATCTATAGCTAGCTACATTATGCATGCAATGGAAAAATGAAGGGAATGAATACGAGGTAAATTAAATCCAACTGTTTTCATAAATAAGATTGTGATAGAATTTACATATCAATATTTGAAGAAGCACAAGATGGTAAGCAACAACATGAAACTCGTCCATCAATTTCATGAGGTTGGCAAATTCTTCCTTTAATTAAATCAGTTATGCCGTACACAAGCAGCATCATTGATTTCATACGAGAGAAATTACAAATATTTAAACCTATGGAGCATTACCCATGGAAGGCATAGAAGAGAAAACTGATTTCAGCCCATCTTAAATTAAAATGACCCAAAGTTGAAGAGTGACACCAATCGGAAAAAAGAAGAGCTTATCATTTTGGTCATACATAAATTTACTATAATTGCCTGAATGATCAATTCTATGCTATATCCGGCTATCTATGCTGTAGATAGGGTTCTTTCATTATAGAGATGTCAACTACAAAACCAATCTTGTTTCATCTATAATCCTTCTGATAAAACTAATGAAAAGATAAAGCAATGTTTGAACTTGACAATGCGACTAGTTTGCGCTGAGTATTTATTATAAAACATCTCGATGACACTTCAAAATCGCTGAAGGAAATGGAGACATGGAACACATCAGAATATCTCCCCTACTACAAAAAAAAAATCTTTCTTTTCTACTTTTTTGTCTGAATGCTGAAGATTACTTCGAAACAGTAAATTGACCAAGAACAATTCTATGGCATAATAAATCGACCAAGAACAATTCCGCCACAAATGGCATAATTTATGCTAGCATATAAACCATCTCCTTACTTTCTAAAAAAAAAAGAGAAACATGAAGCATTACTTACCATGACTTTAATTTATCCCACTTTTGTTTTACTTAAAGTCTAGTAATACATATCACATCTATAGACTATTTTCTAAACATGAGAGAATCAAAATTCTGAGTGTATCTGTCACTGCTCTGGTATTTCCCAACAAATTCCGATAACATTACTTTGACAAAAACCATGGATTTCTGCCATGTATAATGGGAGATCGCTCTCAAAGCACAACAATAATTTAAAATGATTGATATGAAAATTGTACCGAAGTCATTAGATATGTCTTTCGCTTGATGACAAAATGAAGAAAGGTTAATATTTTTGTGTACCGTTCTTTCATCTTTGTAGTCTGAATGAACGATCTAGATAGTAATAATTAACTTCAATCAAATTATAAAATAGTGTTGAAACAGCACACTAGGAATGTGGGCACAGTTACTGCATTTCTACGGCATTCAGCAACTAATAAGTTCTTCGAGTCAGCAGTTAAAAAGAATAGGTAAACTTTCTGGATAATTAGAACTGGAGAGATAGCATCATTTCACAGTGCAAACTAAACTAGAGTCTGACAAAAAGTTCACAAATTTCTTCAAAATTTGCTGCCCAGAAGAATATCAGTGGTATTTTTATCATTTTATTACTTAAAGCTCTATTTATATATGGAGCCACCTACCATATTTATTACATGTAGTCACTTACCATAAAAAAAAACAAACTTTATCCATCGGGCACTTCAGTATTTGAAATGAGTAGCCAGAGTTGGGTAAATAAAACATTTGAATGGAAAAAAAAAACGTCATCATTTTGAATTACAATTAACTTTGAGAATAATATTGAACAAGCAGATTCCAGATGAACAGATGTTCAGGGAAATATTTAAAATAAGAATAAGAAACACCGGAAATGGACATCATTCTAATTCATTATAGATGAAATGACCGCAGGTGGACCACTCCCAACACCTTCGTATAAGCATGACTATTCAAATTGTTTTTCAAAACAGCAGTGTTCTACTGCTCATTACTGTTTGGGCATGATGTTAAATGAGTTGCCAAATTTTTTCAGGTGATTGAACTATGTTATATGGATATGGATGAATTATGCGTTCCTGTCAATTCTAAAAACACTCTGATGACCACGCTGATGAAGCAAAAAACTCGAAAGAAGTGAAGATAGATGAGAAGCAAGTAAAGTGAAGAATCATTCATCATAACCACTTCATTATAAAAAATTCAAACTTCGAGCAATTTTTGGAAGGAAATGCAGTATATTTCTTAGTGACAGAAGTATTTGTAGCATAAGGTATTTGAAAGTGAAACTAAAACCTGAATATATGAAAGGATTATGTACTTAACAACTATCTGATACATTTGCTTCACAAAAAAGTCATACAATCGCGTTACAAATTTAATTGGTAAACTACACAAATATAATAGAAATGCTTCATATATATGGCAACTGCTTTCAATTCTCAATGTATATGTGAGTTTGCGTCGCAGTGCGCTAATCGATAATTCAAGTAGATTCTCATTTTGTTTATTCATAGAATAAAAGTGACATTATTCTGGTCAGCATTTAAACGATGGGAGACAATACTTATTTATGATAGTGAGTGAGTATTGGCATAAAGTAACAAACTGTAATTTATAAACTTGAAAATAGAAGTGTAGATAGCAATAAATGAAAACTTGTTAAAAACAAATTCTTATGTAACCGCACAGAAACAGTCAAATATCAAAAGGAATTTTCGATGTATCATTTCTCAGTTAGGTTAAACTCGCAATTCTAACTCTTTACTGTCAGTTAAGATGACTGCGCTCATTGTCCTTTGCAAATTTAAAGAAACTTGAACAGACTATTTAATTAAAAATCCGAAGATCAGCTTTTATTTCAATAGGTCTTACAAACAAATACTTAATAAAACCCCTCTGAGAAACAAGACACTGCATTAAGCATAAGTATAACATTCACAAATGACGATCTCTTTCTGACATCGAAAGGTCAGGGGATCATGAAACAAGTATTAATGATGAAAGATAAGTTTGAAATACTATTTGAAATGATAAGTTACTACGCAGATATTCTTTCACCGAATCATTGCCTGCAATAGTCCTTGAGAGACTACAGTATTTTTATAGATAGAACAGTACGCTAACTCAAAACACTGACTTCAATAATACATTTAGCTATAAAATCATGATTCCAAACTAATAAAAAACTATACCGAAATCAAAAAGTTGTAGGTCAAACATTAAACTCGCTTAACATTAAGAAAATAAAAGCTGGTATGGATTGTTAGATGAAGGCATATCAAGCAATATAACAGACAAACCTGATAAAGTAAATGTGTTCCTACTTGGTATGGCAAGATATCACAGGCTAATAAAGGATAATTAAACAAAGATAAAATAGTGATAGCAGGCATTTTCTGGAAAAATGAAGGGAAAAATCAAATTTAACAATCAATCAGTATAGAAAATATGATGGTCGCAAAATTCAAAGCGCAAAAAATGCAAAAATAAAAATATCAGAATTGCTTACTATTCAGTACTATTATTAATAATAGTATGGAAATCATTCTGCAAAATCCACTTTTCCGCAAGAAACAACAACAAAAAGTGATTGCCTCGGGGAAAATTGCTATTGCCCAATTTGAGAAAAACTCATTTCTACTTGTTTGAAGGGTCATTTCATTTCTCGAATATCACATAGAGTGTAAAAGCAAATCGACATATATAGAAAACGCCTTTAATGAATTCAGCAAATATCCATCCAATTTGTAATCATTCAAATGTTGCTTCCACATTAATTCTCCACACTGCGACTGCAATCCGAAACCGGTTCTTCAAAATTCTGTTCAGGTCATAACTAAATCAGACTGACATCCTAATTAAAACCAAATGTAAATACACACAACTTCAATCATCATAGCATAACAGAACTGTCTTTCTTTCCTCATTATCCGAATGTTGCCAACACTGTCTCTCAGTTTACTCATCCGCTTTAACATATTGTTTCAAATTTGAATATAATATTAATATAAGTAAATTTCGGCAAATTTTCAAAAATTATTTCTAAAATGTTCAGTGTTAGAATGATGTGATAAACAGTTTGGTTTCCTAAGCAATTTTCATGGGAATATCTAAATTTTCCATTGGAATATAACCAAAACTTAAAATTCGGAACGTTAAGAACTTAAGAAAAAGAAACTTCGAAAATATTTAACCCTACAATAGACAGATTGTGAAATCTAGAAACAGAAATGAAAATTTGATTGCACACTGATTTAATTGGCATTATTGATCTCAACATGAAGATCTCCAGTAACATCATCCGGTTAACAAAACAGAAGCAGTGAAACTGAGTGCTTCTCAAAAGAACCATCTATAAAATAGCATCTTCTACACATTCCAATAAGTTTAACAGTTTCATATTAAATTTTAATATCAAATTATTAAAAAGCATTAAACAATTTTTGATAGGAACAATCTGATCAAATGGATAACCAGCCATAATTAACCTAAACTTTGCAACTAATTCTGCTCGTTCGTATTGATTTTTCGTTCCAAAAATCCCAAGAAACACATAAAGAATTGCGTGCGAAATAAAATACACATCTGACATTCAGTTTAGAAATTCTCAAATCTTCTGAACTAAAGTTTAATTACTGTTTTTTTGACCTGTAAGTTAAAAATCTTTGACTTACCATGAATAATTACTCGCATATTTCAAGACTCATTTTCATTTTCAATCTACAAATGATTATATTCCCAAGCTTCAGAAACTCTAAATGTCTCACCAAGTAAAGTACTACACTCTAATCCACCAGGAAACCGCACAACTGCACACGACACACCGTCCAAGACAATCTCAAAAAAGCGGGGTCTCCTGGCTCCGAGCCAACACTCGGACATAGGCGGGCATTCAAATATTATTGTTGGTTGTTTTGATTGTTAGAGGAAATTGACGAGCTAAGAAGATCTGAAAATTCTATCGCTGTAATTGAGTGAGTCAAATGGTTGCTGTGAAACGAGTCTGTCTGTCATAATTGTCACATCATCATGAGAAGCGCATACGGTTGGGCAGTGAAAGCGGAAATCGATAAGCGCAAATCACTGCTATCATCGAGTGGGCAAATTGTGATAGGAGAAATGATACGAAACGGAAGCAGTGCTGCGGAGCGAGAAACAGTCGCCAGACGGATGCGAACTGAGCAGAGTTCCGGTATGAGCACTCTGGGAAGCAATGGATGATGGCGTTACATGCATAACGCTGCATAAAACTTGCCAAAAGCCATCCATTCCGTTGCGTTCCGACAAACATCCGCACATGTTTTTTGCATTTTAGGCGTCTCAACTGATTCATTTCGAGAAATTGCCTTTGGGATTTATATATTCTCCTTGGATATTTATATAATCTTCAGATAGGATCATTAAACGACTTAATCGAATTGTTTGTCTTTTTTAATAGGAAGTAGAAAAACATTGAATTAATTTCAGATACGTCGTATGTCTCAAACGCGTAGCGTTTATTTCGCTGGAAAATAGCGTAAAATAAAAAGATTTGCCTCATTTAGGTTACTACTTAATTTATATAACAAAATATTCTTCCCTTTTGCAACACAAAGCTAATAGAGGAAGTTAACAATTGCTAACTTGAAGAGACAAATCGCTAGCCCAACTTAAATCTCGTTTACTTTTGTTCCGAATTAAATCGAGACAAGATCTTTCCTCATTCATGTACTTAAATTTGCTTGCTTGTAATGTGGTTTGCTTAAGTAAAGAAAAAACTGCAGTTATTAATAATAAAACTTCAAAGATTTCAAATCATAAATAACACCTTTGCAATAATTATTGGTAACGTTTTGTAGACTATAGCATTTCAAATTACAAGGTAAGGTTTTGCACTTTGATGCAATAAAAATTTATGGAATAGAAATAAAGCAGTAAAACAGCAATGAATAACATTTTGCACTTTTGAAATTAGTGCTGACTTCTCAATGAAATGTATTCGAAATAACGGTAAAAACTCTAAAATGAAATCCATATTTCTGATTCCCAACACAAAAATCAGTAACGGCTCGAGGCAATAACTACAGTTGTTTTTTGATAGCTAAATTAGGGCACAATGTGAACAACTTTTTCGGTAATTCGGTCAATAAAAGCAAAAAATGAACGATAGCACTGCAACAGCTCACCTAATTTACTAGTGCTGATAAGAAGCAAATTAAATCAGATCAGATCAGTGGAACAATTTGATTTCACGGCTACTGTTCTCTGTTTCTACTTCTTATCCATTAATCTGAGAGATCCTTTGATCATTTTTAGATGCAACCGGCTATTAGTATCGCTTTTTTTCACCCCTTTATCATCCCTTCCATGAAGAGAGACCTAAGAATTGTGTCCTAGTATAATATCACCAATAATCAGCAGTATAAATAAAGCACTTTTATTCCAGTCTTTCTATAAATCAAGTAAATATTGTAGTGGTAAATGGGTTGATTAAAATTAAGTAATCGAATCATCACAATCTAATTTGCAGTGAATTGAGATGCTGATTCACATCGAAAGCTAGACATTATTCGTTATCATACTCGAGAAAAATGATGTAATGTAGTTGAAGACATCAAGTGTTTCACGTTACGTCATTGGGACGTTCAAATTGTCTATTATTTTTTACTGAATTATTTACCATTTCAATTTATAATACAATTTCACACTAACATAGATGAATTCCATTCACAGCAGCACTGACAATATTTTTTGATAAGACTAAGAATTCTGTTAAATACATGTTAATTTCTTAGTCAAGTTATAAAAAACTGTTCTTTCTTATCGGCTTGTCAGAATGACACGCTTATGCGTTTATGCATCGTCTTCATCATAGCTTTTTTTTTTAATAAGATCTTCCATGATCAAATTGATATTCCATTTTTGCTTACTTCGAAAGCTCTTCTAATAAAGTCCCTTAATTCGTTGCTGGGATTTGGACTTAAATAGTTTTGACAACTGTGAAAATCAGTCTTAAATAATCGGAAAAAGCGAAACATTTTAGACGGAAAAAAGAATAAAGAAATCTTCCTAATCTCAATGGATCAGTGGTCTACGAGCCATTAATCCTTGATCTCCTTATCAGTCATGCTATACTAAATTCAGCTTAACTTTTCTTGGTGCCAGCGATTGATTAGAGAATAAGCCGCACATTTTTTTTGATAGATAAACGGAAACAAAACAGATCGACCTGAATTTCAAACAAAGAATTTTGAAAATTGAAAATATTCCTGAAATGAGTTTGAAACAATCTAAAATACGCAAGCACAGCTTCGTTTTTATGGAACCAACTAAACTTGCCCAAACCGTCAGCATTCATTCTTTGTGCCGACAGAAATGTTCAGCAATTCCTTCGTCTCATTCCTGACTTATCATGATTACTAGGTTAATGCATTTATGAGAGACCAACGAGTTGTCCTTCAATCAAATGTCTTATTCTTCGCTGCATAAAGAATTGTCAAATCATAATGAAATGAAAGTGCTGATTAGCAGCTTGTACTGTCCGCTCATTTCTGCGTTCGGTTTGCATATTACAGAAATGTAATTAATTCGAAAAAATTTTATGCAAAGATGATATAATAAGGAAAACATTACAATCACTCGAGTGTCACTGAAATGTTGAAGTTATTCATGAGGAAAGCATCAGAATGAAATTTTTGAAATCGCACCTTTTTCGAAAAAGAGAAAAAAAATGCTCAATAAATGTGCAACAATAAAATAAAAAGAATAAAGAACAACAAAAAGAGCTCATATAAAGGCAAGTAAAGAAATTATCTTTACAAAAAAAAAGAAGCGCATCTGTAATTCGCAATTTTTAATAAATGAAACTTGATAAACTGTTTCCGATTGATTCCTACGTACGCATAATAGAATATTTGTAAAATCAATCCAAAGTTGCAAACAAATAAGTCCTTAGCTTCCAATAAATTATAAATGTATGCAAGGTCCAAACAATATATTTTTACAAAATTTCCAACTGAAAGTTTCGAAGAAGTCAGAGGGAAATATATATACAAGAGAAACTTCGGAAAGATCTCAAGCAAATATATAAATCAGGTATCTTCACTGACTCTTGAAGACTTTACATACTTAGAAATGCTGCGAATAGATTAGAATTTCGGAAAACTTGAAAAGTTCTGAAATAATATACTGAGCGAAAATTCCAGTAATTTAAATTTTCCCAGTAGAAAAAAACCCACAATAGTTGTGGAAATAATGACAAATAATATTAAATGGAATTTAAACAATAATATGAAGTGAAATCAAATAATTTTCACTGATAGCGATGAGATCTATCAGATGAAGAAAATAATCGAAATTGTTTTATAAAAATTCAAGATTCCATAAAATTCAGTGACCTATTCGTTCTAATTTTCTTGCCGTATCGGACAGCTCTGCTGCAACTACTGATATCACTACAAAAAATACGGAAGTTTATAGGTGATTTATTACAAATTATAGAAAAGGAAAAAGTGAAAAATAAATTTGTTGCGATAGTTCATATTTATTCTAATTATGGGACACTAAGCTTATATGAGTGTAAAAAACAGAGTCAAAAAAAAAACTTACTTTTATTTGAAAAGACTGGTGTTTTTGGTGGGGAAGGGATCGGTGTTCGAATTTTCATCAATCGCTCAAGGAAACGATCCAACTGACTAAAACGTATGTTATCGTGTAATGTTTCCAGTGAACGCAGTGGAGGCCAGAAACGGCGAATTTCTGAAACATTAGAAGATTCGCTTAGATTCACTACGATTGTAGAGGATGATAATGATAATGAACAACGGAAAACACTTATCTCCCACAGATATCTCATCTTCTGCTTTGTACGTTTGTAATCGTGGAGCACTCGACGATCGCGCGATTACTGCGGTAGACAAAACCGCCGGACCTGCTAAGAAAATGAGATTAAACTTAGTCTGAAGAAATATTCGTATACCAAGCTTTTCGACAAAAATAAAAGATTAAAGTATATTAAAACATTATGAAGGACATCTCAATGAGTGAAATAAGAATAAAATATCAGAAACTAATTCGAAAACAAGCGACTTACTGTTGGATAATCTTCGTCGTGCTGAATCATTCGATTTACCAAAAAGTACATCTGTGCTAATTAAGCGGTTATCCAGCTCTAAACATGTTACTTCCGAATAATGCAATAATTAACAGTGTCAGGAAGTTGATTCATAATGAGGACAGACAACAAAGCAAGAAGTAAAGCCAGACCTGTTAAGAAGCTGACTGTATGATGCTTGAAGCAGTACGGAAATCTCGATCGACGTGCTAAAGTAAAGCATTTAAGTATTCTTCAACAGACTTTCCAAAAATATGCAGTATGTGTTCGCTGATAAAGATAAAGAGAGAATTAATAACTGGACATATGGGCTCATATAATACATGCAACATCAGAATCATGAAAATCAGTTCAAGCGTTGGAATCAAATCACCGCCCATGCAGTTGCGGAATAGAACGCAACCACTCTGCAACTTCGTTGGCATCCCGACCATTTAACCAATTAACCGACTTTTATAACCCAATAGACGATAATTGCTTACATGCAGAACCGGGAGAATTGCGCCCATTTCTTGGACCAACAGTCACTTCAGTAGTAGCGGATGCGGGATCGTCCGGATTCACAAAATCCCTGTTGATGTCCACTGTAGATTTCTTGCAAGACATGTCGCTCATCGATTTCATTAAACCAACAAGATGGCTTTCTGCTGAAGAACCATGTGCCGACGTCTCCATATCCAAATCGCTTATTGACGAGCAGCTCCCTGCAAAACTTCGAGAGTCTGCTCCAGTTTCACTGTTTGCAGCAACACGCCGTCGACTATGATGCAGACTCCCAGGACTATGTCGAGCCAATTCATCTGTTGCTGAAAAATAAATGAAAAAAATTGTACAATTTATTCCGATTATAGCACGAATACATGAGTTTTTTCGTTTAAGAAAAATGCTAACAGCCTCCTGTCAACCTCATCAATTAGCTCGGACAAGATAGCTGAACTGTTATTAAGGTAAGAAGATAAAAATGCATTTTCTTTTCATTATATATTATGAGTGTTAAAAAGATGAAAGATGATGCTTACTGTATTGACCGGAAGCAACTTCGTCCAGTGCAACCAAATTGACACTTTCATCATTTAAGTCATCTTCTGAATCGTTCAGTTCTAGACGCTTCTTGGTAAGTGCTAAAGCTTGAGCAGAAGCTTTCCCAACAGTAAGATTATTGAGGCTGGTGGATGAGCTACTTTCTGAATGGCTTCCGTCTGTAGCA